AATAAACCGATATCCCGGCGACAGAACGGCAAAAATTTCAGTCCCGGGCAAATGACGCGCTCCAACGTCCAACGTGGCCGCGGGTGTGCTCAACAACGCTGGGGATCCTCTCTTTGTTTCAACCCTGCCTATTAATTCCTCTATCTCCGTGGATATGCACCGGCCCGTCACCGCGGATCGCGTTTAATATATGCTCGGCAATGTCGATCGACTCGATACCTTAATTAGTGTCTATCGACACAAAGAAACTATGTAATGCAAATATACTCTAATCCGATGTACATCTGACGTGATAGCTAAACACGTTTAGCGAAGGATAATGACGATTATTTTTGGAACCCTGTCGCATGTATCGAAGTAAAGCAGCGAATATAAAAATCGTGATCGTTCGGCGCGAATGAATACGCGAGCCGCATAATATTTATCTGGTCTGACAAATATTTTCTATTTCGTGTATACGTTAAATATAATAGCAAAAGTATCTATAGACAACGTCAATTTGCCGTATCGTAAGTTAGTAATGGAAAAATATATGGAATTTTGCGTGCGTCGCGTTTTTAAACATTTTCTACGTAAACGATGACGAGTCATCCGGTTGATCGAACAGCGTACGCGTTCAAATAATTACGACGCGATCGCGAAGAACACCTGTGCGCTATTGTAAATCTATCCTTGGATGCGATAAAAGTTGATCGTCGGGTATTCCCTTAATAGGTGGAAGCTGATCGAACAGAGCAGCGACGCGTGTGACAAATTGCCGGAATTTGTCATTGGCGGGAAAAGTACTATAGACTGGAGACTGGTCGATTTGTAAAAATTATCCTTTGAAATAGCTTCAATGGCGCGGAGGCTTAAATATTTATACAAAACACGTTGTTTGGATAGATACAGGCGAATATATCTGAAACAAAGTCTTTCGGGGTTGACCGGCATGATTCGATTACAGATTTACAACTACTTCAGCGACGAACGCTTTTCTCCGAACTCGTATCGGAACGATTCTGCATATAGTGAAATAACAAACCGCGCTTAATTCCGTTATTAAACGGAAACATAAATATCACCGGCGCGTCGGAACAAAACACGCTTGTTATTTTCTCGATACTACGAGGTTATGGAAACGTATGGGGAAAAAAAAAAGTACGCGTACACGTTTCTCGTAACGGACGCTGCCGCGAGCAGACGTTTTTGTAAATCGACGAGGGGGGAAGGGGAGTGGCAAAAAAGCATCGGAAAACAACGGTTGCCGTAATCGATTTCGATTATTCATACGACGAGAGATTGTATTCATCGTTCCGAGCCGTGAACGCTACGAGATGCTCCTCGGAGCGTCGTATCCTCCGGTTCGCTTTGACTCGAAGATACGAGGCGGTTGTAGCGGTCTCTCAATTATTTACACGCACTCCCGGAAAGGCGCGTGCATCCTCTTCGAAAAAGTACGCGGCTGAACTGAAACAGTAATGCGCCGTTTTACATTTCATGCGACCGAACACCACGGTATTATTCAGCAACGGAACAAACCGAACCTCTACCGTGCGCCAACATCTTCCGTTCGTTTTTACAATACGCGATGATCTCGATACGATAAACATTCGAATATACCGCCTCTGAATCGTCGCGATAGAATATTTGTATACAGAGCGGACCACTCAACGAAAACGAATCATCTCTCTTCTTGAAAAAAGGCTTGAAATGCCATTCGATCGTTTAATACTTTTTCTTATTCCGATCCGGAAATGCACCTTGTGCAGCTGCGGCTGCAAATACATGCGGAGGGACGCGTCAGTTCGCGAGATTACGTTGACTAGACGAGAGAACGGACCGTAACGAAAGTTTGCTTGAACCGAGCCACCTTCTCGCGGACACCTTTTCCAACTACCACCCGTTTCCGCCTACGAGTCGCGTTGGCTCTTCCTCGCGTTTCCGCGCGGTTACCGTCGCTCTCCTTTTTATCCGTTTCTTTGCGACCGGCTAAAAAAAAATATCCCCGGCAAATAAATATGGCCCTGTATTCTTTGCCAAGGCATTGTGGTCGACGCGGCGCAGTAAAATACGGCACTTTTATTATCCCATGAGTTTTAGCATGGCGCGGCGCGTCGCACCGCGGCCAGAATAAACTCTCGAGACGGTAAACTCTCAGGAAAAACCTATGCGCCGAGTAAACCAGACGGGATCTTCCGAACTCGTATCCCCTACTTATCATACAAACTTTTCTTCATTTTTTCACCCTGGCCTGGCGGCGATCGATATCCACGCGGCCTGACGTCGACGGGGGTTGGCATGAATTTGGCTGAGAAACCGAATTCGAAATAGGAGACGTATGTATGTACATAGGTATGAATTATTCTTTAGAGTTGGCGAAAACTTTCCATAGCTGCGAAACGTCTTACGTTAAGGGAAAATGTATTTGGATCGCTTGTTTATTACGCGAATCGATCGTGTTCGCTCTTTCGTAGAAATAATTAGACGTCCCCTCTTCATCGATACGCGAGGCGCGCAACGAGAAGAACAGGCGGGAAACTGAGACAGAAGAGTGAAAACAAAACAAACGAAAGGTAAAACTTGGCCGGACTCTCGTTAATAACTGAACTCGACTCGGTTATGGTCGCCACGGGCGCTTCAGCGTTGGCAGTCGCATCGAACGAGGTGGTCGCTAATGGGCCGGATATGGATGAAAAATTGTCTCGGCTTAATGCGCGTGTCCCTTTTTTCATTATTACCTGACTGTTAAGGTTCCCCTGAGAGCATCCCGGCTCGCACAAACGAACAGGAGGAGGGCATCTGCGCGCACTTTGCTGGCCAAGCCATCGTCTATAGGCTTGCCCGGGGTAATTTATTCGGCGATTAAACGTTTGATCGGCGAGCCAACCGTTACGCGCAATTCCATTAGAACACGCTTGCACGGTTGATCTCTAACGCGACTACCGGAATAAACTGATTCATACGATCGACTCGGCGCATCGTCGTTCCATTAAACACCGGGAGCGCACTATTCGTAGGTGGAATTGTCGTCTCTACACGGTGTTAAAAATAAGCAAGTGTAGGAGGTGGTCTAATTCGAATAGTGTTCCAATCAGATTGTTGTGCAAACTAAGAGCGGCCAAGAGGCGAAGTCGAGCCATAAACCGTCCCAAAATGCCTACGCAATCACGTACAAAAAAAAAAAATAGAACAAAGTTTACGATAACCGGAACCCAAAATGGGAGTAGGGAGAGAAGGGGTTTATCGAAAATGGAAACACGTTCGAACAACAGAATTTGTTGGAAATTGATCGTATCCCTTTAACGAGAATTCGCATCCACGAGCGTCCATTTGCAAAGCACCCCGTACACCGGTATCGGTATATAGCAACGGGACGAAGATCCTAATCGCTAGGGGGTAAAGACTATTCGCGCGGTTCTTACGGTCGAAACCTTATCGTCGAAAATACAGACGAATAAATTGGCGCGTTATCGGGGCACGCTGTCAATGGTTCGGGGGAAGTTATCGGTGATGGTCGTTGCACCCTGTTCACGGGGAAACGCGGCCGCGCGCGTGATAACGATGCAACAGATTCCCATCGATGACGCCAGAAGTACGTAATGGTACCTGCTCGGTGAGCACACCGACCTCGCAGCTGATCGATCCGCAACTACGATGTTCCGGAGATTACCGGATACTCAATTAAGGGATTCGGTATCATAGAATTCGAGAGCTTCGGATTAAGGACGCTTATCGCGAGAGTAACTTCGGATTATGTGTACGGCGCGGGCGGCCTGCCATCGTTGCATGCGTCCTGCGTGCCGAATCCTATCTACTCGCTTCGGGTCGCGAGTAGTAACGGAGGATGCGGGTGATTAGAACTCCGAGCGCTACGAAATCAACGAATAAGTTAAACGTCGCGATGCATCGAGGCTTCGGGAGACTTGGACGTTCGCGAGTATCGCGACTCTTGACCCGATCGCGCTCCCAGAAAGTATCGAAGTGAAAATATCGAACACGGTAACTTTCATCGCGATAACTTCCAACGATACTCCGAAAACACGCTTTCCGCAAAAGTAGGAACTGAACGCAGCCAACGATCGTAGAGGTTATTTTGTCAACTCTAAAAGGTGAAAATATCGTCTTAGATCCTCTTATGCATATTCATACGTCACTTTGGAAATGGCCGATACAACGGGCGTATGATTTGCATTCTGTTGCTGTTAGTATCGCTGCCATCCGCGTAATTAGTAATATCTGATTAACTAAACCGTGGCGAAATCGGATTAAATGACGTCGCAGAGCAAATCGTGGTAGCTCGTAAATCAGCTTACCCAGCTGCGACTTGTCCTTTATTCATTGTGTTTGCGCCGTTATACTCTGCGTTTACTGTCTATTGCCTCGGCGGCAATAAATATCGACATTATCGTTGCCATTCGGCAACCTCGTGTTCGTAAAACCGAACCCCACACACGCAAGCCTTAATGCCGTTCGAGTCTTTCGGTCCGATAGTTTTCTCGCAACTCTACGGGATATATATTGCGTCATCCACGTGAGCTGTAGGTTTGACCTCGCAGATGGTCGGCGAATCTTTCGTTCGACCCCAACCACCCACGAAAACTGTTCGCCGAGTACTGGGGAAAACGCCAATTGTCCGGATAAGTGGAGAGAGACAAACGAGTCTGATAAATCGACGATAAAATATCCGTTCGACGTCATTGGAGCGAAACAATTCGCGTGTTTCGAGTACGAGAGATTCTAATTTTGCGTCGATGCCAACCCGAGCCAGAAACTGTACGGGGATCCCGTGTAATCCTCGATTTGAACACGGTTCACTAAAAAAAATGTTAAAGTGCTCGTTGGAAACGAGAAGAATTTTTGTAACAATGTACGAATACGAAAATGATCGAGGAAGCCACACGAGGCAGGTCCAGGAGACGGTGAGATCTGACGGGTTAACGACCCAACGCATCGCGTACTCCGAAAATTCGGAGCAGCGATTCGCGGCAATGAAATACGTTATTAGCATCGGTACTCACCGATCATCGTAGACGAAACCAGCTTGAAGGGTGTTGCAGTAGAGGGCCGTGGCGACGAGGGCGCAGGCTACAGCTAGGATATCCATGTCACATCGTGGCGAGGACGGTGGCGGCGGTAGCGATGTAGAGGGTAGCGGCGGCGGCCTCTTAACTTGTTGCACGTCCGCGGGCCTTCCTCCTCCACCACCTCGACAGCCCCTCCTCCTCCACCTCCTGGATCCACCGGTTCGTCGTACGGCGGTCGAGACGTCCGCCGGACGGTCCAGCGACCGCCGCTCTGACGCCTGCCCGGATGTATCTCGCCCGGGACGAATGTCGGTGACACGTAGCGAGAAACGAGCCAGTAATCCAGCCGCAGCTTCGTCGAGCCGTAGCGCTCGTCGACGAGCGATTCGATGCTTCGAGAGGTCGTCGCGAACACGGTGCACCGGCTACGCGGCCGGATGTCGTTCGTACCACGTAAATACGATGTCAAACCGTGAGAGAGTTCGTTGTATACATGAGAAACGCCAAAGGGCATTCGACGTACGAATGAACGCGTTTCGAGAACTTCTACGATCGGTCGATTAGAAGAGACGACTTCCAACGACTTCGGCAGTTTGTTATTTCGTTTCTTTCGTGTTCACGCGGTACACTGTGTCGGCTCAAGCTTGTACTCTACATTGTCGAAAGATTCGAGAAGATGATGCTTCGAGAAGACGATAATAGTCGGAGTAAAAAATAAACATTTGGTGATCTGTCGATATATCTCACGATTCACTGTTTGGGTTCCTCGATCAACTGGAAGAGCCGCCTTTGCACGCGACACTACCGATCACACTGGTGCGTCCGTTGCGTGCCGGATCACTGGTCGATCCAACTGTCGGGATCACCTCGGAGAAAAACGACTGGACCGAGAACTCGGGAACCGTGAGAAGTCTCGACCGAAGCTATCGGAGCGAAACGCGTTTCGACATCCTCCTCGAGCTCGCAGATTGTTATTGTCGTTGGAAGATCGATGCTCGATAAATCGTTGTTCGACGGAGACGGTGTAGCTGGAAACTGACGTGGTAATTTTCACGTTGACGTGAACGTAGGACCGCGTATACGAAGACTGTGTACACCTTCGAGTGGTTTTTCTCATTCGTGGACTTTCGAAGGTTGACCGAAACGTGCGCGATCTACTTCGTTCCGGATCAATCTCTTTGTTTTACACGGTTCGTGTGCCGCGAGTCGAGGTCGGTGTTTGTCGACAACAACGATGAGCACTGACAACAAGGACGAACGAGTAAACGGTGGATACAAAGTACCCGCGACGCGGTGCATGTTCCGAACGCGGAACGCCAACTGTCGCGCGCCCCCCGAGGACGAGCGCTTTATACGAGCGGGAGACGGGCATCGATCGGACGGGCGCTTGCGCTCGCCCGCACCTCTGCTCTTCTCCCTCTTTCTATCATCTCATCCTCCGATACGTTTCCTGGTCCTGCTTCGTCCCTCTGCAAGCTACCCGCGACGCTCCACGGCTGCGTTGCTTCCTCTTCGTACGACCGGTCGCGAGTACGACGACGGCCACGACCACGACCGCGACCAACGGAGTGGATTAACCGCAGCCCAGGCGACGCCGGTGACCGATGACTGTCCTTTTGGAAAATGACGCGCGACGTCCCCCGCCTCTACCTGTACATCGGTGATCCCGTGAACGGAACGTCGCTAAACAGGATGTCTTATCGCGTTTCCCAAGCCTCCGATAGACACCTGGATGCTTAATGCATCCTGGCGGTTGATCGTTTAACGCGAATCGCTCGCAACGTAGCCGCAGACTCACCCCCGAGTAACGCGAACAACCTCTCGTTTGTACCTAAATAAGTCTGCTTTTTAACACCCTGACTGCCATGGTTACGTTGATCGTGTACTCTTTCCGATTCAGTCATCAACGATAATTCGATGCAAGTAACAGGGCAAAAGTAATTAGCGATAATTGGATCGTATTCATATTTGTTGGAAAATTAACGATTGCTATTGGAACAAGCTCGAAACAGCTGCGAGAAAAATTTGAATACTCCCCAACTGCTGTACATTAGTATTTAATGAGTTTCCTTCGTCCTACGAATTTACCGTGTATACCGAAAATTCCTAGAATGTCGCCAATAGTTTCGAAGATATTCCCGTGGATCGATTAAAACGAAAACATTCCGTTGGATTGGTCGTAATTGTGTAAAAGGTCTATCGAAAGTATAGCCCGTGACTACCTTTACGACAAAGTCGTTGCGTCGCATCTTATTTATCGTCGTCGTACATCCTACTTCAATTAGCTCTTGCGAGTTTAATTCTCGTAAGAGCAGCGGCACATCGCGATACGATATCGACCAGCATCCATTTGCGACCACGTTGTAACGATAAGAGGAGATTGCGATCGCGACGAGAGAGAGAGAGAGAGAGAGAGAGAGAGAGAGAGAGAGAGAGAGAG